GGTCAAGGGCATGTACATTGGTTGCGGACACATCCCCAGTGTGGACACGTCTCATTGTTGTTTCCAACTCTTTATCCCTCTCTCTTCCTCTCTGTAAAAAATCAATAAAATATATATTTTTAAAAATATCTGACAAAGGGGGCAAAGATGGGCTATTTAACAAATGTTGTTAAAACTGAACAGATACATACAACTCCTCAGATGCATAAGGGACACACTCAGGAAGCCTACTCAGTGAGCACCAAAACCCCACTGAAGCAAGTTTTGCCTTATAAGGGTGACTCCAGCACAGAAGTTCTCCCATCATAGTCACAGCTGATCCTCCCAGCCAATTGGCCTGGAGGTCTATTCCTCCCAGTGATACCAACAACAATGAAGGCACACAGCCTACAAATGGGTGTACCAAGAGTGTCTACCTCAGATAATTAGGGAGGCTGAGCCACTGGGCCATATAGGACACCTAGAACACAAAGCCACTCTATCAACTCAGGGAAGAAGCTAAAATGTGGAGAAAAAGAAACAGGTCACAAATGAAAGAAATGGAGGAAAGCAAATGACTGGATATAGAGTTCAATACCACAGTTAAAAGGTTTTTCAAGAACTTTCTAGAAAAGGCCAATAAAATTAGTGAGACCTTTGAGGATATGAAAAAGGACCAACTAGAAATTAAGTATACACTGACTGAAATAAAGAATAATATACAGAGATCCAATAGCAGACTAGAGGATCACAAGAATCAAGCTAAAGATATGAAATACAAAAAATCAAAAAACACCCAACCAGAAAATAAAAAATAAAAAAGAATTAAAAAATATGAAGATAGTGTAAGGAGCCTTTGGGACAACTTCAAGCATACCAACATCTGAATTATGGGGGTGCCAGAAAAGGAGAGAGAGCAAGATACTGAAAACCTATTTGAAGAAATAATGACAGAAAACTTCCCCCACCTGGTGAAAGAAGTAGACTTATAAGTACAGGAATAGCAGAGAACCCCCCAAACAAAAGGAATCCAAAGAGGACCACACCAAGGCACATCATAATTAAAATGCCAAGGGCAAAAGGTAAAGAGAATATTAAAAGCAGCAAGGGAAAAACAGTTACCTACAAGGGAGTACCCATACGACAGCTGATTTCTCAACAGAAACTATGCTGGCCAGAAGGAAGTGACAAGGAATGAATATTCAAAGTGATGAACAGCAAGAACCTACAACCAAGATTACTCTACCCAGCAAAGCTATCATTTAGAATTGAAGGTCAGATAAAGAGCTTCCCAGATAAGAAAAAGCTAAAGGTGTTCATCACCCTCAAATCAGTATTATATGAAATGATGAAAAGTATTCTTTAAGAAGAGGAAGAAGAAGAAAAAGGTAAAGATAAAAATTATGAACAACAAATACATATCTATCAACAAGTGAATGTAAAAATCAAGTGAATAAAAAATCTAATGAACAGAATAAACTGGTGGATATAATAGGATCATGGGCATAGAAAGGGAGTGGACTGACAATTCTCCGGGGGAAAGGGGTGTGAGAAGAGACTGGACAAATATACACCTATGGATGAGGACAGTGGGTGGGGGGAGGCAGAGGGTGGGGTGGGAATGGGAGAAGGGGAGCTATGGGGGGGAAAAAGAGGAACAACTGTAATAATCTGAACAATAAAGATTTATTTTTAAAGAAAAGAAAAAAACAAAAAACAATGAGACATCACTTCCTACCCATTAGGATGTCTATTATTTAAAAAATGACTACAGCCCTAGCTGGTTTGGCTCAGTGGCAGAGCACTGACCTGAGGACCAAAGGATCCCAGGTTCAATTCCAGTCACGAACCTTGGTTTTAGGCTCCTCTCTGGCCCAGGCCCTGATCTGGGCTCATTCAGGAGGCAACCAATCGATATGTTTTTCTCACATCAATGTTTCTCTTTGTCTTTTTCTCTCTCTAAAAATCAATAGAAAAATATCCTCTGATGAGGATTAAAAAAAAAAAAAAGCAAAGAATTTAAACACACACACACAGAAAAGAACAGGTGTTGCCTTCACTGGTTTGGCTCAATGGATAGAGTGTCGGTCTGCAGACTGAAAGGTCCCAGGTTTGATTCTGGACAAGGGCACATGCCAGGGTTGTGGCCTCGATCCCCCTGAGTTAGGGGGGCATGCAGGTGGCAGCCAGTAATGATTCTCTCTCATCATTGATGTTTCTCTCTCTGTATTCCTCACCCTTCCTCTCTAAAATCAATAAAGATATATATTAGAAAAAGAAAAGAACAAGTGTTGGGAATGGAGAGCCTGGAGCCATTGTGCACCAGTAGGGAGAATATGAGATGGAACAGCTACTGGGGAGCACTGTCCTATGTTCCTCAGAAATTAAACACTGAGTCACCATGTGACCCCGTAAGCCCGCCTCTGGGCACACACTCAAAAGACTGACCTCGGGTCTCCAGGATCGTTTACACCCACGTTCATAGCAGCACGAGCCACAACCAAAAGGTGAAGGCAACCCATGGTCCAACAACAGCCAAACAGATATGTTCACGCAATGGAATAGTCTTCGTGATGCTAAGTGAAATAAACTGGGCACAAAGGACAAACATTGTATGGCTCCACTTCCATGACACACGTAGAACAGGCAGATGTGTGGAGACTGAACGTAGAGTATGGCTCCCAGGGGCTGTGGCTGGAGGGGCTGCGGAGTTATTGCTTACTATTGATAGTTTCAGTATTTGTGTGGGATCTGAAATATGGTAGCAATCATACTTGGGTAAAAACTGCTGTTTGAATTTTAACCCTACTATTCTGACTTCGACCTTCACTTACTTACTTAAACAATAGGATAGTTGCAGGCAGAACTTCCTTTTTTAAAAATTTTTTATTAAAGAGCCAGCCCTATGTGCACTTAATGGTTATCTTGATGCTGGCCTTGACACCTGGCATGGTATTGAGATTGTGGGCATATCTGGTCTCTGGCCTACAAGGTCAGACAGCAACATTTTGTCTAGGAAGAACAGCAGAAAATTCCAAACAACAGTTTGTTACAAAATAGGGGTTTTCCTTCTCAGAACCTTTAAAAAGAACTGCCTGTCCCTGAAGCAGTGCAGTCGTGAGGAGTCCGCCTGAGTGTGGTGCTCTTGCGGCTGTCCTGGCCAGATACTTCAATAAATCTTTGCCTGCTTTTTTAAATAAATCATCAGCCTCTGGTGGTCTTATTTTAAACCCAGGGTTTGACTCCACAACAGGATCATTAGAAAAAGTTTGGGCCCTGGCCGGTTTGGCTCAGTGGATGGAGCATCAGCCTGTGGACTGAAGGGTACAAAGTTCCATTCCAGCTAAGGGCACATGCCCGGGTTGCAGACTCGATCCCCCCAGTGGGGGGAGGGGAGTTGCGGGAGGCAGCCAATTGGTGATTCTCTCTCATCATTGATGTTTCTATATTTCTATCTTTCTCCCTTCCTCTCTGAAATCAATAAAAAAAAATTTTTTTAAGTTAGGAAATAGATGATGGGGACAATTGCAATGAGGCATACATTGAATTGAATTGTGCTCTTAAAAATGGTGAGCCTTTCCCCGTGTCTCCTCCATCAGGAGGACAGCGATCGCCCTTGGCTGAAGCACTAAGGGCCGGGACTCCCTGAGTGCTGGGGACATGTGTGGCCTGACGCGGTAGCAAGTGCCTCCCGTGACTTCGCTCACATGTACAGTGAGAGAGAGAGAGAGAGAGAGAGAGAGAGAGAGAGAGAGAGAGAGCGCGCGCGCGCGGGGGGCTCCGAGGTGGGAGGTGTGTGTGCCCAGGCAGCCTTTGGCGACCCCCAGCATCTGCAGGACAGACACCTGCCGGTGGGAGAGGTTGGGGGCGGGAGGACCCCTTTTTGCACAGCTCATTTTCCCAGCGGCTCCCTGGCACGCACGTGCTAGCAGCCAGCTAACGAGGTGCAGATTGAAAACGGCTGATGCACGGTGAACCGGATGCTGGGATCCAGAGCGCCCTGAGGAAATTCCTCCAGGTGCAATGGTTAGTTCCCGTGGGCGCGGCTCCCACATTTGAGCGGGGCCCACCCCTTCCTCCGCTCTGCAGGCCTTTAGAGAGGGGAGACCTGGAGCAGTGGCCGGCGCAGGGCCGGATGGTAAGCCTGTGTGTGTGTAGAATGTTACTGTCGCTCTTGCGCATTCATAGGCAAACCTTGTAGTGTTCTCTGTTTTATTAAATTGTTTTTTCTTTAAAAAAAAAAAAAAAAAAAATGGTGAGCCTTGACCAGTGTTGCTCAATGATTAGAGTATCTGCCAGGCACCAAAGAGTCATGGGTTCGATTTATGGTTGAGGGCACATACCTGGGCTGCAGGTTAGATACCGGCCCGGCTGCAGCTCCTGTGGGAGGCAACCAATGGATGTGTCTCTCTCATGTCACTGCTTCTCTCTTCTCTTTCCCTCACTCCCTTCCATTCTCTCTAAAAATCAATGGGGAAAACAGAGGGGGGAAAAGTCAATGGAAAAAACAGACTTGAGTGAAGATTAACAACAATAAAAACAGGTTGAAATGGCAAATTTTGTGTTATATGTACTTAACCACAATAAAATGTTTCAAAAAGGAAGGAAGTACGAGCATCTGGGGGCAGGTGGCGGGAGGGGGGTTGGGGCGACGGGGGGACAGGGCCCGGCCGTCGGTCGCAGCCCACACTGCCAGGCCCTCCGTGCACCCTGGACAGTGACCGGGCGTAAGGGAAGGTCACAGACCGTCCTGCGGCACCGGGCACTCACTGCTCAGGGGGCGGCGGGCAGGGGGGCCGAGCCATCGCCCTGGGCCCCGGCTGCAGCCCGGCCCGGCCCGCACACCCTCTGCCCCTTTGACTCGTCTTCCCCGGTGCCGAGCGAGGCGTGACCTTCCTGAGGCAGCGCCAATCCCGCTGCCTGTGCCACAGGCCGCTGCTGGCACGCCGGGCACACTGCCTCCTTGGCTCCCCTCAGGGGCCACGCCTCCCACGTGGACTTTGCTGCCTTGGCAGGTGGGTCAGGCGGGCCCAGGGCAGGAGCTGCCTGAGCTTGCTCACTGCCTGCAGCGTGGCCACCATGAGCACCTGCCAGCTGTGCCTGCTGCTGCTGCTGGGCCTGGGGCTGGGCGCCCAGGAGGCGCTGCCCCCGCCTTGTGACAGGTAGGATTGGGCACCTGCTCCCCCCGTGAGAGCTAGGAGTGGGCACCTGCTTTCCCCCCCGCCCTGTGAGAGGTAGGAGTGGGCACTACCCCCCTCCACCCCCATGGGAGGTAGGAGCCGGGATGGCCGCTGGGGCTAGTGGGGAGGCCGAGGCCAGGAGCTGGGGTGGGATGGGCTCAGGCCTGAGGCAGGGCGGAGGCTGGGTCCCAGTGGAGCGGGCTCTGCAGGGCGAGGCCCGTGTGGGAGCGCACTGCCCTGGAACCCCGCTGGCCGTTTGTGCACCACCCAGGCCCTTCCCTCCCTCCCTCCCTTCCAGCTGCTCCTTGAACCCACAGGGCTGTCCTCAGGGTTTTTCTAGAAAGTGTTCTGCGAGCCTGGATGTGGGAGGGGGTTCAGGGACTGGAAAGGGCTCCTGGCTCACTGGCTGCAGCGTGGCCACCATGAGTACCTACCAGCTGTGCCTGCTGCTGCTGCTGGGCCTGGGACTGGGCGCCCAGGAGGCGCTGCCCCCGCCTTGTGACAGGTAGGAGTGGGCACCCCCCATGAGAGGTAGGAGTGGGCACTCCCCCCCATGAGAGGTAGGAGTGGGCACCTCCCCCCCTGACCCCTATGACGAAGGACAATTGAAGGGCTTTTAGGGCCATCGCTTCCACCTGCACATCCTGGAGATGCGGCCTCTGCCTCCCAGGCCGGGGCGTCCACTCCCAGAACAAAGGTTGGTGAGCTCTGCGCCCTGGCTGCTGGGGAACAAGAAAAACGAGGCCGCACCTCTCGGCCTAACCTCGCCTGCCTGGAACCCAACAGAAGCCACGGGCGGGCGCTAGAAGCACAGTGAAAAGTGAACGAAGCCCACTCTAGGGCTGGGAGGAGAGCGTGTCAGACGGAGGGGTCTCAGGAGGCGATGCCGGTGCCGCGGGCTCTGGGAGAGACAGGCCAGGCCTGGGGGCAGCACGCGAGGCTGAGGCCGCACAGGGTCCGGGAGGAGGCCGGGCGGCTGGGCAGACGGGACCGGGACCGGCGGGAGGTGGTGAGGCTCTGGGAGAGGGGCCGGGCGGGCCTCCATGTAGGACCAGAAAGGCGAAAGCGTTCAGTGTGGGGGCTGTTTGGAAGGCTGTGATTGGACTTGCTGGTGGTTGATTGCGGCTCGGCAGTTGAGTGTGGAGGTCATGGTTTGATTCGCAGGGCACAGGCCCAGGCTGTGCTCTCGATCGCTGGAGTGGGGCCTGCAGGAGGCAGCCGATCAGTAATTCTCATCAGTGATGTTTCTGTCTCTCTCCCTCTCCCTGCCTCTCTGAAATCAAATTTTAAAAAATATCTTTTGGCTGAAGCCGGTTTGGCTCTGGTAGAGTGTAGGTCTGCGGACTGAAAGGTCCCGGGTTCGATTCCAGTCAAGGGCATGTATCTTGGTTGCGGGCACATCCCTGGTAGGGGGTGTGCAGGAGGCAGCTGGTCGATGTTTCTTTCTCATCGACGTTTCTAGCTCTCTATCTCTCTCCCTTTCTCTCTGTTAAAAATCAATAAAATATATTTTTTTAAAAATATATATTTTGAAAGGAAAGGATGTATCTGGCATAATTCATAGATGTAGTCCTGAGCGGTTAGAAGAGGGATCTCAGAAAGGGAAGCACAGTGTGCTGTCAGGGTCCTGGCCCACCTGAGCTTCAGGCCTCCCCGCTCACACAGGCCTCCCCGCTCACACAGGGTCTCCCCATCGCTCACACGGGGTCTCCCCATCGCTCACACGGGGTCTCCCCATCGCTCACACGGGGTCTCCAACGCTCACACAGGGTTTCCCCATCGCTCACACAGGGTCTCCCCATCGCTCACACGGGGTCTCCCCATCGCTCACACAGGCCTCCCCGCTCACACAGGGTCTCCCCAGACCTCACACGGGGTCTCCCCATCGCTCACACGGGGTCTCCCCATCGCTCACACGGGGTCTCCCCATCGCTCATACGGGGTCTCCCCAGCGCTCACACGGGGTCTCCCCAGCGCTCATACGGGGTCTCCCCAGCGCTCACACGGGTCTCCCCAGCGCTCACATAGGCTCTCCAGCACTCACACGGGTCTCCCCATCGCTCACACGGGGTCTCCCCATCGCTCACACGGGGTCTCCCCATCGCTCACACGGGGTCTCCCCATCGCTCACACAGGCCTCCCCGCTCACACAGGGTCTCCCCAGCGCTCACACGGGGTCTCCCCAGCGCTCACACGGGGTCTCCCCAGCGCTCATACGGGGTCTCCCCAGCGCTCACACGGGGTCTCCCCAGCGCTCATACGGGGTCTCCCCAGCGCTCACACAGGCTCTCCAGCACTCACACGGGGTCTCCCCATCGCTCACACGGGGTCTCCAGCACTGGTCTCACAGTGAGGGGTGCAGACATGGTCAGGAAAGGGAGAGGCTGCCGCTCCGCCCGGGCCGCTGCATGGGTGACAGACACACCCGTTTCCCAGCGGGGAGCTCCCGGGCGTGCCTCCGGTTCCTCCTGGGTCAGTTCCAGGGGAACGGCGTGTCCACATGGCTGACCTGAGTCACTCAGGCTCCAGGTCATGAAGGTCAGGGTGATAGAGGGTGACCCTTGGCCTCTGCCATAAACCCCATTATTAACATGAAATATCGGGCTTGGCCCGGGTTCCAGTGACAAAGACGCTACAGAGCAAAACAACGAGCCGAGGGGCTTGGTGCAAACGCCTGCACTGTAGCCAGTTGGCCAGAAGCGGGGTTAGCGTGGGGCCCCCTGAGCTTCGCACTGGTGCCGAGGCGGGGCAGTCATACTGGGGACTGTGCCCTCGACCTGGGGGTGGCGTCAGAGCCAGCAGGTTAGTGCCAGCCTGTGCTGGAGCGTTGAGGGAGTGTTAGGAAACATGTGCCTTCCTAGGATGCCTCACCTCCCTCAGCCTCGGGGCTCAGGGACAGTGAGCTGACACGGCAGAGGACGAGGACCTTTCGCTCCTGGCGGCCATGGGCACCCAGGTTAGAACCGCAGTTGTGCTGGGATCGGTGCTGAAGGTAACAACCACCGTGGGACTCAGACGCTGGATGCGGCCCCAGGGAGCGGGCTCACTGAGCGCATCAGGAAATGCTAAGTACACGGGAGCCTCCTGCACTGCTAGGGCATGCAGACTGTGAGCCGCTGTGCAGAACAGTATGGCGTTTCCTCAAAAAGTTTGAAGTGGAACTGCCTTTTGACCCAGTGGTCCCACTTCTAGGCATACATGCTAAGAAGCCTGAAACGCCAGTCAGAAAGAATGTATGCACCCCTACCTTCACAGCAGCACAATTTACAGCAGCTAAGATCTGGAAACAGCCTGAGTGCCCATGAGTAGGTGAGTGGGTTAAAAGCTGTGGTACATCTACACCACGGAATACTGAACAGCTGTAAAGAAGCGACAATATGGAGGGACCTGGAGAGCCTCACGCTAAGCGAAATAAGCCAGTCAGAGAAAGACAAGAATCACATGATCCCACTCATAAGTGGAATCTAATGAGCAAAATAAACTGATGAACAAAATAGGACTAGAGCGATAGATGCATGGAACAGACTGACAGATCTCAGAGGGGAGTAGAGAGGGGAGGATGGGAAGAGATCAACCAGCAAACATGTGTGCATCTATGCACAGCCCATGGACACAGACAATAGGGTGGTGAAGGCCTGGGCAGGGGGAGGTGGAGAAAGGCAAATTGGGGGAGGGGGAATGGGGGACGTCTGTAATAGAGGCAACAATAAAACAATCCTATATAATAAAAGCCTAACATGCAAATTGTCCCCTTGGGCAGTCATTTGAACAGGAGTTTGACTGGGAGACCGGAGTCCCACCACTTGCTATGGTGTGTGCTGACCACCAGGGGGTGGCGTGGAACATGGCAGGTGTCAGCAATGTGGTGCTGGCAGCGGGCAGCAGTGGAGGTGCTGCCGGCCCTGACGGGCAGTAGTACTGGGGTAGTCATACTGGGGACTGTGCCCTTGACTAGGTGGGACCTCAGCAGGATGGTGGAGCAGGAGAGCAGACAATGCCAGGCCAAGGAGGGTGCGAGTGGGAGCCCAGGTGCTGCCCAGGGCTCAGAGGTCAGCTGGGACCTGCCCTTCCACGCCAGATGCTCGTGCTTCAATTTCCGGCCAGGCCTAAGGACTGCACTCGTGCATGAATTTTGTGCACCAGGCCTCTAGTAATAAATAAAATGAAAAAGAAAATGCAAAATAATAAGAAAGGTTTAAAAACAAAATCCCTTGATGATGATTATTTACAAGAGCAAAAATGAAAGTGAGAGATGGGCCAAGCCTGGGTCCTGGCCAGTTCAAACCAAAGCTTCTCATCCCAGGGCCGGCCAAGCAGTGTGCTGGGGAGACCTGATCCTGGCCACTGGGGACAACGCCCTGGTCCCAGAGCCATTTCCTAAGGAGCAAATATTTGAAGCAACAGATAAGGAAGAAGGTTCCCAAGCGAAGGGGCTAGGTCAGCGCTGTCCAACCTTTGTCACCTCATGGCGCACACTACACTTTGGCAGCACACCCAAATACATCTTCTGCCGATCTGATTCATCCACACCAGACAGCTATTGTGATGGCAGTGGTAATTTTTAAATTTACCAATCTAAGGGAAAAGGGGCCAGTGCCCCTGATATTGCAGGCTTTAAAATTCTTACAGCACACCACTGAAAATCGCAGGGATAGCTCAGCCGGTGTGGCTCAGTGGTTGAGGATCACCTATGAACCAGGAAGTTCGATTCCCGATCAAGGGCACATGCCAGAGTTGCGGGTTCAATCCCCAATTGGGGGGGAGGGGTGCAGGAGGCAGTCAATTAATGATTCTCATCATTGATGTTTCTATCTCTCCCTCCCTCTCCCTTCCTCTCTGAAATCAATTCAAATATATTTTTAAAAAATATATTGATGAGAGGGTCGGGTCCCTTAAGTATGCCCCCTGCTGGGCACTCAGAGTTCTGCATGTGAGTGGACAAGATGGTCAGAGGATGGAGAAGCATCTTGGACTCTGTGACA